CTTTGCCAAGTCATTTAACTTCTCTGGGGCTTTCTCGCTTCTGTGCCTTTGCAGGTGTTTTCCTCACTCTCTGGAATTCCCTAAGCTCTTTGACAGGGGAGCTTTTTGCTCATCAGCAGTATTCAGCCTGGTGTCATCTCTCTGAAACAGTCCCTAATTCCCCTCCTACGCCTGAGCAGTGAGATGCTGCTTCTTTGTGCTTCTGTGGTAGTTATTGTGTAAGTGCCTTTCTCCTACTTTCCTTCCTTCCTCCCCGCCTTGCCTTATACACTGTGAGCTCCCAGAAGACTAAAGCAGTAGCCACTGCATTTTTGATTTATTAGTGCCCAGTGTATGTAACCCACAGGTAGTAAAATCTCAATGTGTTTTTTTTTTTTAATTTCATGAATGAACTTTGTCTTTATATTTCCTAACATATTAAGTGAAGCTATTGGGCAAGATAAGTGGTTTTCAAGCATTTAATAAGTGGAAGAACTGGTTAAAATTTTAAGAGGACCAATATATTAAGGAGAAAAAGAAGGAAGTGCTCTATTTGAAGCAAGAATCGGGTTCAAGAAACCTGTCCCCTTAACCTCTCCTCTTTGAACAGAGCACTAGGAAGTGAAGAAATAGGGTTAAATTGGCGTGGAATCATAATTGCTTATTTTCTTGCAGCTATAAAGTTATAATGCTGGAAATTTGCTCTTTCAAGTAGCAACCTTTTTTTTAATGAGACTTTTTTTTTGTGGTGGAATTTTTCCTAAAATATAAATATACTGTCCTGCTTTCCTGAAAAACAGAATCCAGCACTAATGTAACTGATTCTTTCCTTAATGACTCAGGCCCTCATTAGGAACATTCACTGTTTCACTGAGCTGAATTCACAAAGGCGTTGTTATGACGTGTTTATTTTCCTGTATCTTCCTTGTCTGTCAGCTATCATTGCTTCTGCTGTCATTTTCTCTGACCTAATAGCTCCCTTAGCTAATCTCGTTTTCTCAAAGTCCCTGTGCCCTAAATTTTCTGTGTGCTAAAACAACATAAGTCTGTTTGGAGTTCACAAAAAGTGAGTAGGACTTTAAAAAGTCCTTTTGTGCTGGCACTATCAGAAGTTCATTAAGGTTATTTCTGGTATTTAGAGGTTTAGGGTTATTGCCTGGTTGCTATATCCTTGGGTTTGGGGATTCTCAAGTCAAGCTCTATGTAAACAAGGTAGGATATGTATTTTCTAGAAAATTAACCTTCATACAATCTGGGATAATTAAATGGATGTACCTTAAATGATTTAAAGCAATTAAGCCATTTTTAAAATAAAGCAAATGATAAAATACCCTTGAGAATGAAACAAGATGTTTATTTATAAATTATATAATATATTCTTGAACCAAGCTCTTGTACTACATGGTCTATATGAAATACCGTTTATTTAGAAACGGTATATTTAGAAATACCGTTTAAACAAATATAAATGCTCATCCTAATATTTTCTTTCCACATCCCAGGGAATTGTCTTGTGCACTCCTGAGATGCATAGACAATGGTAGACACCACTGATGACCTGTGGTTTAGCTATCTACAATAAGTATATTAACTTTGACTTTAGTTAAGCAGGTAAGCATCATTTCAACTGAAATATAATTGAGCTGCTTTTCAGGACATCAAATCATTTTTTTAATCTGCAGAACATAACATGTGGTCTAGCATAGCATATAGTAGGTGTACAATAAATGTTTGATGAACATTTAATGAATGAATGAAGATTAAGCAGTCAGGGAGGCTTTAGAAACCCCTTAAATTATTTATTTTATTTTCTTAAGTCATGTTAAAACTCTTTCAAAGCCTGTTCACATATCATTATATCATTATTAGTGTACATACCACCAGGCAATGTACACACCACCCAATGATTACATGACACATTGGGATTTCAATGTCAGAGGGCTTTGAGCCAGGGCTCAGGTGTTTATCTCCAGTAGAAAACTGGTACCCACAAAGGTTTCTACCCAGCCCAATTACTATAGTGTGAGGCCTGGCAAAGTCTGACTTAATAAAGACCATCATGTGCTGCCTATAGCATCAGGCATCTGGGATGGTTGAGTGGGCACTGGTAGTAGTCATTAATAATGGTGATTCTCAAAGCCAGGCAGGTAATACTAGTAAGGAGTTAGGAAGAATGTGGAGAAAGGGAGAGGGGCAAGTAAGGACATATCTGAATAGAGATTTAGAGCACATTTGAATAGAGTTTTAGTTGTGTCTTAGGCCTCTACTCTTGTTCCACACATTCACCTTAGACCTGCATAACCTTCTAGCCATGAAGTACCATCTATGAGCTTGTAATCCAGGCACCTATCCAGCAGCTTACTGGGTGGTTTCGATTAGCCTCAGACACTACATCATCTGCATGATTAACTCAGCTGCTTTCCCCATAACCTGCTTCTTGTAAAAATTTCCATCTCTGTAGGTGGTTCTACTATCATCCATCTAGGTGCTGAAACCTGGAAGAAACCCCTGATTTCTTTAGCTACCTCTTCCACACCATTCCCAGTGCCAGCATCATCCCTTGCCTCCTAATTGGATTTCCCAGCTTCTATGTCAGTGTCTCCAAATCACTTTATACATTATACCAGAGTGACTTTCATAAATAACAATTTGGATAATATATATACTCCTTGTTTGAAGTTGAGATTTCTGGCCTCCCAGGTCCATTCAAATAAGACTCTTGCACTTCTCTTCAGTTTCATTTCCCATCACTGCTCCACTTACCTTTGCTTACCTTCATATTGATCTTTTCTCAAGTTTTCCAGAGCTGTTGGTTGACCACAAACACTTGGGTCTTCACCCCACCCTCCTGCTATTCCTGCCTGTAGCAATCTTTCCTCCTGTTGGTCAGTGGCCACATCTGTCTTCTTCACTGCTTGCATCCTCAGTGCTGTCCACATTCATATTTGTTGAATAAAAGAATGAGAGCATGAGAGCACTGGACTGCTTATTAGGGCCCACATTAAGTGGTTAGACAGCCTGAACGAATTCAGCAAGTGATGGGGTAGATGGGCAGCTTGGAGGAGACACTTAGGACCACACACTTCATTCCAGTGTTTCAGATACCAACCTTATGGACTTCTGTGTCCTCCCAGAAGGTAGACCTGGGTTTACCTAAACAAGCAGGATAGCCTTACAGCCAGACAGACTGGAATGCTAAATCTTAAAGTAATCTTGGCAAATTACTGATAGGGCTGATGCAGACCCATTGAGATAATTTGTGTAAAATGTATGACATTGTTTCCTGGTATTTTGATATGACTGTTGTGATAGTGTTATATATGATGCTTAAATCTTACCATCAATGTGCTGCTTCTCTGCAATAATAATATTTTTGAGCACCTTTCCCACAACTGATATTCTCCCAAATGGTATAATTTTCTTTAGTCCTCATGAGACCCTATGAGGAGTTTCTCTTCTTATTCTCACCTTGTGAGATAACAGCACAGAGAGGTTTGACCAACTTGCAAAGCCACACAGTTGACTGAGGTGCGGCATCAAATCATCTTGGTGATTCTACCACACAACCTCTCATTTGCTCCTAATATTTTTCAATGAATTTTATTCCATCTCCATTTAAAGTAAGATGTTTGAACTTACAGAATATTTGTTGAATCATCTCCATGTGTGCAACATTAAGTACTGTGTGAAATTTAACGAATTTATCACTCGAACATCTGGAAGAATGTTGTAACTTCTTAATACTCATGGATTTTAATATCTTACTGGGGAAGGGAGTTTAAAAAAGGAGCAATGAGATAATATAATAAAGGGACAAAACAGAATCTTCCGGAGAAGCTGCTTTCTACTCCATAACTTTGATTACAGTTATGCTGCAGCAGACAGTGATGCTTCCTAAATGTTTATTCTCTAAAGGTAATGCCGTCACCCTCAGAACTGATCTGCTCCCACTAAGTAGATTCCAAATAGCTCAGGCCCAAGAGATGTTTATAGGAGAGTTAAAACACCATTTCTGAAATTTCTAAGTTAAAAACATTTGTTAGTTGTAGTTCATGGGAGACAAAATGTTAATTTTCTTGGGGTTGGGGGATGTTCTGTATAACTGTCATCAGAACTTGAATTGGTTGAGTTTTTCAGGTTAATTGAAAGTTAAGTTTGAATGTACTCTTTAAAGATAAGAAATGATTCTTTTCAATTAGTTAGATTCCATTTCCATTGTTTTTTTTAATGAAATGAAATTTCTAGAATATTAAGATACTCCTACAAGAGTAGGAGTATTCACTGTATTCACTGTACATCTTCTTCAATTTTGTTAACATTATTTTGATTCCTCTCTTGTCCTAGAGATTTAGAATTTGCCCCAGTTTTATACAAATGAATTTTGCATTTCATTCAATGAAAGAGTAAAAGTTATCAAAATGTACTATTACGGCATTTTATATCTACAAATTTTACTTGTTATTCTTGGCTCATCAGATTAAGCTGCAATCAAAACATTGAATTCATGAAGGGAGAGTTGACTTTCGGCCACAAGTTTATCTGCTACAGGAGCCATGGGTCAGACCTCCAGAGAGTCAACTCTGAGGTCAGGTCAGATGTCTCCAGTGGATTCATGCAACTGCAACTGATTTTACCCCATCCAGGCTCCTGTTTGACCCAAATAAGCAAAGAACTGAAAATGGAATAAGGTAATTTTGGAGTCAGAGTTTAAGAAATTAAACATTTTAGGTTTTAAACTCACACTTTCTTTATTCCACGGGGACAGTGTGTAGTTTTTCATTTTGCATAGTCCACCCTAAAGGACTTCCTAGAGCTTCACTTGGTCTGGAGCAGGGTTTAGAAGTAGTTGGGAGACATTCTGGGGTGACCCTCTGGCCAGTGGGACGCCTGGGCTGCTGGGACCAGCTAACTCCCTCCTTTTCCCCAACCCCTACAGCAATCCATAGGCTGGATGCCAGCCCTGTCCAGCTTTGGCCTCCTGACCCAGACATCCCGGGGGCGAAGGCCAGGGGAGCACTTTGCTGAGCCCAGTCGCACCGCCCCCAGCCTGAGTCAGGGGCCGCCCGCCAAGAGTTCAAGGCCTCCCAATTCCGGATATGATGAAAAGGAGCAACAGAGGGAGAAGTGTTTCGGGACTGTAGGAGAGAGGAAGAGGAGTAAAAGGCCCCCTTGGAAGGGAACTGGCCCCAGCGAGCTGGCTGGAAAGAGGGCGGAGAGGGCAGTCAGAGGAGCTGCCGCTGGTGCCACTGCTGCGCGTCTGGGCAGAGCCAGAGGGAGGCGGGGAGCACGCACAGGGGCGGCCACCACCGCGCCATCAGGCCACCGGGGCGAGATGCCGCCTGTGCTGCGAGCGCCTCGCTAACTTCCCGGGCCGGAAGAGGAGGGGAAGCGGTTTGAGCGAGGTGGGGGGAATGCGGAGGTAGGTGGGGGTCTCCTGGGCAGGCCGGGGAAGGATCGAATCCCCTCCCTGTAACTTCTCCTAAATCTAACCCCCTTCCCCGTCCCCCTCGGCGCCCCTCCTTTCTGCCCTCCTCCGAGCTGGGGGGCTCCCCTGCGCCCAACTTGCTGGGTAACAGCCCTCCCTGATTTCAAATCAAAACTTACCGGGGTGGGGTTTAGGGGAGGGCCTCGGAGGGGGAGGGAATGTCCCCCAGGGGTGCTGAGCTCTTCTCCAAAAACACTTTTTAATTTTTCCACCAGAAGCAGGCAGTTCCCAGAACCCAACACCTAACTGCCCATCCACGGTCGCCCCGCGGGGCAGCGAGCAGGCGGCGGCGCGGGCTCAGCCGAGCGCCCATGTCCGGCGCGGGAGAAGCCCTCGCTGCTGGGCCCGCGGAGCCGGAGCCGGCCGAGGAGGGAGGCGGCTGGCGGGGCACCCCGGCCCAGGGTGAGTGCACGCTTGCCTGTGCAAGCTTTTTTGTTGTTGTCTTTTAGAATTTCTTCACGCATTTTCTAGTGGGGGCAGGAACCCACGGATTCCTGCATTGTCCTGGTGAACTTTTGCATAGTTCGAGTTACTCAAGCAAGTTCTCCAGGATTCCTGCCCTGGATCAACAACCGGATAAGAGGGCGGGATCCTCGGGTCCCTCCACTCCCCCCTTCCTTTGGCTGCGGAGAAACAGGATGACAGGATTGTTTCTTAAGCATATGCATTTGGGGCCTAAGGCCCAAATGTGTGTGTTCTGAAGTGTTCTGAAGTGCCTCTTCCCTCTCTCTCTTTAGTGCTTGTGTGTTCATCAGATGCAGGACGCTGCTGCTGCTTTCTGAACAAGCATGTGCTCAGTTTGAATTTCTGTTTCTTTCTTTCTTTTTTTTTTTTTGTCTTTCTGTTTCTTGTTGTGTACCTTGCAGCTACATTAATAGTCCAGGTTTCTGTGGCCACCGGTTTTTGTAATGGTTCATGCACTTACTTTCAACAACTTCTGTTTTGAAGCAAATATGCTTTGAAAGAAACCTTTCCAAGAGTGAGTTAGCTCGTTTGTGTTCTTCTAAAGTGTAAACATGTACAGCTTATAAAGAAAATACTCTTGTTCTGGGAAACTTCCATAGCAAGCTTATAAACAAGTCAGACAATACCTTTCTTATGAAGGTAACATATTTCAAGTTTTCATTGATGACAGAGCCATGACCTTGCTCTCCTGATAATTTTCCTCTAAGGCCATAGGGAAGTTCCTATTTTAAAGTCCTGACACTGATATAATCACTAAATATTTTTCCAGGTCTCAGAAACCTACTTTATACTCTTAATTTTAAGCATATCTCATAGCTTCTCTCCCCCCTCCCCGCCCCTTTAACAATGTAGAGAGCTTTTGAGATTTTTTTTTTTTTTTTAGGCAGGACAAAATGAAAAATAAATTGCATCTGAACCCACACTCTGAAACAAGTTTCAAAGCAGATAACTTCCATGACTAAATTAAATTGTGGCATTCAGGGCTGTTCAATTGCATTATGTTTTATCATTGCATTTTACTTTTAAACAGTGAGTCATTTTTTTTTTTAAACAGAGAATCAGAACTAGCATGATAAGCATGTTTTCCCAGAAACACCTCTTGTTCTGCACTTCACATTACCCACACCACCCTGTCCCTGTCATTAGGCATGCCTGCAGGAGTCCTGTGCACTCAGTGATGGGCTGTTTATGTCATACAAGAGCTCATCACTATTCTTAAACGGTGCTTATGTTAAAAGATTGACATCACACACACTGAAAAACAATTGATTTGGAAGTAGTTGAATTCTACGAAGTCCAACTTTAATACTATGAGTTTTTACACTCCGCTTAGAAGAGCTCACAGCCTTAGAGCACTCCTGTGATGCTAGGATGTAAGGTCCCACGTGACCTCACTTTAGGAAGCAGGGCCTCTAGAAAGGTCTGAAACACAGTGTGGGCTGCATACAGCACATCCATTATCAGTGTGGAGAGGGAAACACTTTATTTTTTTGATTATAATTCTCTGAAAATTGACTTACCTTAGCAATATTAGTTATATCTTGCTTTCTTATTAAATTTTGATTTAAAATATCCTTTGAATAGGCATCACTTTAATTGTAAATGTAATAAAAAGTTGAGTTTTTAAAGTCTCAGAATGTTTTTAAAATATTGTCTCAAATAGGCAGATTCTACAAGTTGATTTAAGAAAAAACTTCCCATGGTTAAGTTCATTTTATTAATAAAGGTAGTAGTGAAGAAACTTTGCTCATCTCCCCTGCTTCCTCTGTACTTGTAAGCTCTTCCTCAAGTTCTGTTACCCTTTTCCTTCTGCCTCTGGAATCTTTATCGTATTTTCAGAAAACTATATATGTTTGACACATTTCTGGTGGAATGTGACTGCTTAACTAAGTGAAACTTGATTTAAATATTTTATGTATTAAAATAATGTTGTGATGCTATCTATACTGTGAACCAAAGGCATCAAACCTTAAACTGGGAAATAATTTTAAAGAGTCTCCAGTCTGAACTCTCCATCAAATCTAGTGCACCTTGTAGATCCTTCAGGTGGTTAGTCAGAAACCTTCATATTTAGAAACCTTCAGGTGGTTAGCAGTCAGTGTTATGAAGGTTTTCCTTATTGAATACATAGCTGTCTCCTGAAAACTTTTACCCTTCTGCTGAGTTTCTGCAAGCAACATTCTGTTGCTTTGAAGGTATTAAAAAGTTATTTGTATGTATTTTGAAAACTGTCACAGAGCAAGGACATAAGCTCATAAGTGCTGGGCTGTAAGAGGGAACCAAAATAAGCGGTAGCAGGCAGGGAGCAGTGGGGACTGCAGGCCACACAGACCTCATGGGCAGCGGACAATGCTTCTCAGCTTCAGCTCAGTGTTGCCATTTGGGTTAATATCTTCCAATATTTCAAGAGAAACTGGAAATATGAATTTTTATGCATACTCTTTCCCTTCTTAAAAATTGGCAACTACCTAAGTACAATTTTTTTGTCAGGCCAAACAAAATGACCACACCCGCAGGTTGAAAATGACCTCTAAACAGCTAGTTTGCAGTCTCTATTATAGAAAATAGAAAGCAAATGTATGATTTAAAACTGCTTCCCTATATATGATTAACTTCTGAAAGATTGATTTGATTTGCCTTCTCATGCATTCCTATGTAAGTGATTTCTAGGTGAGGGTCAATTTGGGCCTCACTTATTAAGAGAAAATGGATCTTGTCTACATGTTTCTTCTACTTGTCATTTTCTTTACTTTTTTTTTTTTTTTTTGCATTAAGTATCTTAAATTATTGTATTATCAAATAGCACTAACAATGTAGGTATTTCCTTTCTGGAGTAATAGTTACTAAAATACATATAGTCAAAAGAACTTTTTGATGAAGTGCTTCCTTCACAGATTTGTTATGCATAATTAAAGGGATTTTTAGAAATAATTTAGTGCAACTAACTTACTGTTTAGATAGGACATCAGAAGAATTTAAGTGACTTGCACAAGGTCTCATACACAGTGAATAGAAATCAAGGTAGAGACACAAATTATGAAATATATTACATGTCATTGTGATAAATGTGGGTGCAGTAGAGAATCCATACCACTTTTCCATACAGATGGATGAATCAAAGATAATAGGCTTTGGATATTGTGAATCACTTGAGCCTGTTCCCATCCCTACATCTCCCTCCCACCCCCACCCCACTGCATTTGCCAAGACTTAGACTGTTGGACTGTGAGTGCTGGAACATACTTTAATGTGATAATGTGTGATTTAATGCACTCTTTTCTCTTGGGAGAGTCCTCTGAGACTATTAGGCTGACTTTTCATAGCAGGATGCAAAATGCCAGTGAAGTTAATTAAAAATAATTTAAAATAGAAGCTAGGGAGAAAATCTTCAAGTTTAAATTACATAAGAAGAGCTTTGACTTAGAAGCTTAGCTGAGTTGTCAGGAGTTTATAGTGGCTAATCAGATTTCCTCTATGGGAAGCTTGTTTATTTCATTTTATAGACTGTGTCCTTGTAATATTCATATTCTTCTACTCTTTTCATATTATTTTATCCTTTGATTAGGATGGTGTTTCTTAAAGTGTATTGTCTTGGGACAACTACTGTCTTTAATTCTCAACCCTCAACAGGGTATGCTTTTGCCCTCCAGGAGATATTTGGCAATGTCTGGAGACAAGTTTGGTGGTCATGAGTGGTGGCCCCGGCATCTACTGTTAGAGGCCAGGAGTAATGCTAAGCATCTTGCAATGCATGGGAAAGGACTGCTGCTCCCCACCCTCCTACAACCCCCAGCCATGAATTTTTAGGCCCGGCATTGTCAATAGTGTTGTCAATAGTGTTGAGATGGAGAAACTTTGTTATTCTAATCTGTCAGGGCCACTGGCATTCATGACTCCATCCTAGACTTTGAGTCAGACACTCTGGGTGTAAGACTCAAGAATCTGCATTTTCAGCCAATTCCAAGTATTCCTTAACTCTAATTGAGAATCACCGTTTGAGACTTTGATCTAGAAAATGATATGTTATATTGGCATTTAAAGGGTTTTTTTTTTACTAAAATTGATTTAAAAAAAACCTTAAAACTTTCTTTTTTCATGTTTCAAACTTATATTCTTGCATATATACTCTCTACTAGTGAATTCCAAAATTTGTAATGCATGCCTCAATTAATAAAAATTGGCCTGAGTATTCATCCAAAAGAATTTCTTTTCAAAATTGTATGTACTTAAATACAAATATAGTGTGAATATTTTGAAAGAAATAGGAAAATAAAAATTAAAGAGAATGGGATGAGAACAAGTAAATATTTTTAATATTTTCTTTGACCACCTCAGTACTCTTGTGCTACCTCTGTATCTTTCTTTGGATTTCTTGGCATTATGGAATAAAAAGAAGTCTGCATCTTGGACATGAATTGTGTTCATCTGTAAGTTGAAGTTTTAGAGTCTAGATTATACTTAGATTCAGAAAGATAAATTATACTTAATTTCATAATCTCAAAAGTTTGTTGGCATTAAATTTGATATATTTGCAATGGTATTGTATAGAGAACATAGTTTTACGATACCAACAACCAAATATAAATAACCAATAACAATATTATATTGAATAGAAACTCATTTAAAACACTTTTTTTTTTTTTTTTTTGGTGGGATCCTCGCCGGCCGCCGGCGAACGAACCAGTGCTGCAGAGGCTGCGGGCAGCCTTGCAGCCCAGCGCTCAATCCTGTGCCACCAAGGGAGGCCCTAAAACACTTTTTGAATATGGGTGCTCGAGAAAGAACAGGTTTGATCAGAAAACTAAGGAGATTTGGGGGTATTTTCAAGCACCTTAGAATTTATAGGCATAGTTCTTTTTTATGTCTAAAGGAACCAATGTTCATTTTATAAGTTTAATTATAGAAGTGCAAGTTACTGGGTAACATATTCATTTTCC